CTGGAGCATTTTGCCTGCAAGCTCAGTTTCCTGCTCCTGTTGCAGTCCAAGCAGACTATGAACCACTGTGAACAGCAAAAACCTCACTGAGGAAGTGCCAAGTCCAGGTTTGTGCCAGTTCCAAGCCTGAGTATTTACACCACAGGGCTGGATGAGAGGCTGAGGAAGCTGTGGCCACCCAGAGCAGCCAGGACTGCAGCAGGAGGATGTTTCTAGAGCCCCAGTTTCTCTTCCAAAGAGCAGTGTTGTTGGGAAACACCTCCACAGAGGAGACCTGAGAGCTGCTGGACATCACTGTACAGCACCAAGCACAATGGGGGCCTTTATCTGGTTTAGGGGGGGCCTTTACTTGGTCTTTATTAAAATCCTACAAACAATAAGATGTGGATTAGTCCTTTGGGGAAAGCTGGAGATGAAACATGCCTGGCTCTTGTCAGCTCACAGCCAGAATACTGACTGACTCCAGGGGCTTCATGTCATAGAAAAGGGAAGGTTATTTAGGTGACTCAGACTCCAACACTCCAAGGAATCTCTACCCCTCACACACATTTCAGTGAGTCCTGTATCACCCCCGGAATGTCTGGCTAATTAGAGCAGCCCTGAGAGATACATCTGATGCTGGCAGCTATTTTGGGATCTCAAATTAGCTTTTGGAGGCTCTAGACTAAAATCTGAATTTAGTAATGCTCCGAGAGGGAGGAAGATGTTTGATGCAGGGCACATTTTCAAAATACTTCTGGCATATACAGTCATTTTCAAGATATTAAGATTTACATTCCTCCATAACATTAAAATCTTTCACATGAACATGCAACAAATGCAATGCACAAGCAAGCTGTGTTACTCCAAAGGCAGTGCCACAAGATCCACTTCTACTGGTAAAAAACTGCATCATAATAGATGATCTCTATCAAATCTTTTCCACTTGATATAAAAGCTGTGCCTATTAAGAAAGAAATGGGAAAGATTGGTTCAGCACCACAGACACTGATGTTCCAATTACATTGCAAATGAAGATGCATTTGATAAATAGGTCACAAGTCCAGACATACGATGATTTCCTCTAGCAGAAAACTACTGATCCAATTTTCAAGTTAAAGAATTGAGGGCAATCTCTCTCTGTTCCAGCATTTCCACACATATCCACTTTCTTTTCCTAATACTCCTAAGTTAAAAGAAGCAGGTTTGGTAGCTTTAGTTGCATATAAAATAAGACTTATGTCCTTCTATGTCCTGTGCCCAGGGCTTTTCACAGTTGTCTTTTGAAGCCATTAGACTTCTTCAGCATTCCAAGGGTTTATTTCTTTGTTCTTTTCTCTATAGAGCTCAGACTTTCAGTGATCTGGAGATTTGAGAGTGATGAGCTGTCCCCAGAGGAAACCCAGGGGGATCTGTGTCCTTGCTGTGCAAGGAGGTCACTCCACTCATGTCTGATCATCTCCCCAAGCAAGGAACTGTTTGCTTTGCAAGCACTTGTGTGCACTTATGAAGGTGTTTATTGAAGAAGTGAGCCAGCCAGGGCAGAGCACCCACCAGAGAGAGCCCCTCCACTGTGGGTGCCCAAAGGTGCAGGGGGTCCATCACCCCAGGGTGCTGGGGGGTCCATCACCCCTTCCTGAGGGTCCAGGGTGTGCAGTCCTGAGGGGCTCTGAATTAAACACACCCCAGCCAGGCTGTCAGGACTTCTGCCTGAGCTCCCTGGCACTGCCTTCAGACAAGAAGGAACAGCCAGAGCCCATCCATGGGTGTGGAAGGGGCAGGGCTCACCAGGTCTGGCTGGGCAGCACCTGGTCTAAAAATTTGCAGTCTATAATTTTAAGGCATTATGGACTCATATGAGAATTCCTATGGAGCCTTGGGCTGTTCATAGAGTGGTTTGGGTTGGAAGGGACCTTAAAGATCACTGAACTCCAACACCCTGCATGGGCAGGGACACCTCCCACCAGCCCAGGTTGCTCTCTGGAGTACAAGGTAACAACTTCAAAGCTACTTTGCTGCTGAGAGTTCTCCCATGAAGGCCAGTGCCTCAACTGGAACCAGCTCCAAGACACAGATCTCCTTGCCACATTCCCCTCTCAACTCAACTCCACTTAAACCTCCTTCTCCCATGGCATCTCAGTGGGAGAGCTGGACACAGGTACATCCTGAAGCCTCCTCCACACCCTGACCTCTGCAGGAGCATCAGTCCTGCAACCCAGCCCATCCCCAGAGCCATTTATTTGTGGGTATATAAAAAACAGCTTCAATTTAGCAGCTCAGATGGTGCCACCCCCACCTCCCACAGGGAACATGTCAGCAGCTTGCACAGGGTGGCAAAAATAAACAAACTTACCCACTTGGTGTTGGCCCTGCTCATCCTCACCCAAGTGATTCACGGAGATGTACTCTTGACTCCTGCAAATTGAAGACATTTGTGAGTCTCCTTCAGTTGGGCACAGATCAGAAGAAACAAACAAAAAAAAGATTCCTGCATGCAATTACACAGGAAGGAAAACATGCAACTCAAGCTGAGCTTTGAACATTTCACAGCAAATATCAATACTGGGGTCTAGAAAGGGCCATCATTTTACATTTTTAAAATAACTGAGCATTTTTTTTCTTTTTCTCTTTTTTTTTGGCAGTAGCAGGACTATCTATATTCGTTGTCATTTTACATCTTTTGATATTTAAAACTCGCCAGTTCCTTTTTTTTTTTTGCCCACATTCCATTACAGTGCATTTCCAAAGGGCACATTATTAAAGTTATTGCTAATTTATGCAGAAGCACGTGGTTGGTTTTGTTGTTTTCTTTTTAAACGTTTATTTTAAACAGAAGTTTGTTGTGTTTTTTTTTTTGCAACTTGTTCTTTTTTTTTTTCTTTCTACATTAAAATTAACATCTGAGAGAATTGTTTCAAATCAAGTTTATGCAAGTTGCTGTCACAGTTGATGTAAAAGAGAAATGTGCTATTAAAATCAGACATTTAGGTGTTACCTTTTGGGCTTTGCGATGCATGTTAGCTTTACACATCCTGATTCTCCTGGGATAATTTTCCTTTAAAAAGGGGGGTATAGGGTGATCTTTTCATCAAGCAAGACATTATGCCCTGAAAGCTGACTCCAAACCATCGCTGAAAATTCAGTTATTTACACTTTAGTAACAATCTACAAATACAAATTGTGTTTGTTTTTTTAAATGTATCCCCCTCAGTCATGCGCTGCTACAAGCACTTGGGTTCCTAATGCTCTATTTTTCACCCCCGAGCAGTTTAAAATCTCTTCCCCCTGGAATAGTTAAGAATCATTTTGTAAAGGGAAATACAAACCATTATTCATGTCTAAGAAGCAGTTTACTTTGAACTATTTATATATATACACATACACACGCTCTCAGAAGGATTGAGGAGCAACTGCAGCAGCCTTCCCAAAAAGAAATCCATTTTAAAGTGGCTTTCCAAGGAAAGTAGGAAGGGCATCATCTTAGCCAAGGGGGTTGGGGGTGTTTATACAGAGCAGACAAAGCAAAGCTTCCTCCTCCTGGTGGCAGCCAGGAGGCCTGGGATTTTGCAGCATTCCTTTTGTCAGGCTAGGTTTAAACCAGCCATTTCAGACCCAGTCTGGAACATTCTGGGAAGACACCTGAAATCTGGGTGAGTAACTCAGCCAAGAACCAGAAACACTCTCTAGCAGACACAAGCCAGATTTCTGCCATAGTCCAGCATCAAACTGTTCTCAACAACTTCCAGGGGGTGAAAAACAAGGGGTTTTTTGCTGTTTTTTTTGTTTAAAATTAAGCTCGTTTAATGAGCTCAATAAACTTTTGGTGAGAATTACAAAAAACCACCATTTTTAGAATGTCTCCACGTTTTAAAAAGACAATTAGCTTTAGCATTAATTTAAATTTATTTGAAAAAAAAATAGCTATTTTATTGCTCCACAAAAAATGACAATTCATCACATTTACTTTGATTAAAAAAGGACTAAACTTTATTGACAAACTGCAGACATTTTGACAAGTTTTAGCTACCTATTTAGGCAGACTTACACATGTAGCATTTAAGAACAGAGTGGGAGGACAGTGTACAAATCCAATTAGGACTTTATCCTATGTACAAAGTGAAATTTTTCCTCATTTTGTTTTTGTTTTCTTTTTTTTTTTCAGCTGCAGTGTCCCTTTTTATGCAAAGCTAGTGTTGAGATACACTTGAACAAGTCAATGGGATTGCTAATATTGAGCATTTTTAAACTTGCACTGCATTTATCTGCCCCAAGCACTATCAAAATGAGAAGACTCTAATTGGACAGAGTTCAGACCTACTCACTTTAACACTCTGTTTCCTAATATCAAACACAGGGCAATGACAGCCACGCTTTCATTTCTTTTTCCCCCTTAAAAGTTCTTCATACAGAACCAAACTAAGAACCCCTTTACACTGGAAAAATCTGCTTCCCAAGCATCTCTCAACACTGCATGTTCGGGGCTAGATTTCAAAACCCACATAAGTCAAGTCAATTTTACAAACCTAATTTTGTTGTTTTGTTTTGTTTTCCTTTTAGGTCAATTACCTTTAAAAAAAATGCTATTTAAATTTGTTTGAGGATCCTTGGTATTAAAATTTAAACTTAAGATTCACCAGCAATCTGCTTTTTAAGTTTGACATCTGAGGTTACTTTTAAACGGTGGCAGCTACCGTTACATTATGATTTTAGTTCTTAAAAACAAGCCCTGAATTTTGAAATGTAGCCTACTTTGGGATTCTGCAACTACAACTTTTATGGGTTCCTTAAAAAAACCAAACTTAAAAAAGGTTAACAAAACCTTAAGCTCATCACTGCTAAGCAAAGCATGTCACTTTGGAAACTAACATTTTTTAACTCAACTTTTTCTTTTTTTTTTTATTAAAAAAAAAGGTACAGTTGTGTTTATCTAAACCACAAAGAAAGAAAAGCCATCTACACACTTAAAAAGGAAAAAAAAATAAAAACAACAAACAAAACAAAAAAATAAAGAAAGTCAGGTCCTCTAAGTCTATTTTATCTCATTTTAAAATACTACGTACAGAAGCCAGAATGCAGGGTGAGGATGGAGTGGGAGAAAAAGGGCCACGAAGAAAAACAGTTAGACAATTACTTGTCTGGTGTGGGTAAAGCAACGGGAATCCTGGGAGATACAAGAATCAGTAACAACTGTTTTTGCTCATAACTGATATTTTTCCCTCATGTTTGTTTTTTTAATAACGTCCGTATGGGTGCTCTCTGTAGGCCCCCTTCACTGGCCTGGCCGGCGGGGCCTTCAGGGAGGGTCTGGTTCCATTCCAGTCATCTTGCCCTGTGGAAAAGAGAGGGATAAGTCAAGGATGGTGGAATGTTCCAGCCAAGGGGCACGGAGGGAGCAGGGGTGCTGGACGGATGAGCTCCCCTCCGGAGTCGATGTGGAGGAACGAGGCATCTTCACAGTGGTTTCACCCCCAAAACCAGTCTGCAAAACGCCCTGTGGTCCACAAAACCCCTTGCTTGCAGCACGTCTTCTGGGAAAAAGCCACTTGAGTGGGATCCCTGCAGCTCTGACAGCCTGGCTAAAAGCTGCCCTGGAGAAGGTAGGTGCCTTTTAGGCGTGATTAATTTCAGCAGAGCTGAAGCCAAATTGCCAGGGCAGCCCTGGCAGGCAGCCATGGGGAGGGTCCCCTGCAGCCATGGGGAGGGTCCCCTGCAGCCACAGCCCCTTGGGCCCGTGGCCAACAGCATCCAAAGCCCAGGGTCTGGAGGGAGGTCTGCTGCAGGCAGCCCTTCTCTCCTGCAAAGATGCCAGGCAAGGCAGCTCCGAGATAACTGTGCCAAAATAATCAAACCTGACACTGTGCCAGGATGGCAGCACGATGGACTGAGCTTCAGACACCAGCCTGATCCTGCCTGCCTGCTCCTTCCCCTCTCTAAACACATGAATATTTAGAGCCCTGGCTCACACAGCACCTGCTTGGCTCCTTGCAGCAGCCACCACCCACTTGTGTGGTTCCAGCATCGACTGCTGCCAGGACAGCACAAACCCTTCTGCCATGCACAGTCACCCCCAAAGCAAATTCAGTAGACATTCCCATTGTCCCTGAGCTAGCTCCAGTCCCAAACATCCCAGCTCAGCTTTCATTATGGCTTGTGCTTGCAACATTCACACTCACATGCCTGCCATTCCCACCAGGGTCACCAGTTTAAGGCAGCAAGTGCCCAAAGCCCAGAAGACAGCAGAGCCTGTTCCTACCACCACGGAGCTCACTCCTATTTTCTCAAAACTGTCTCCAGCCTGGCTCAACAATTTACTTCTCTAATTCTGTTTTCATGAAAGCAGAGACCAAAGGAAATTACTGTGGATAAACAGATTAGCTGTGGCAACTTCATGCCAAGTATACAATGAGCATTTTGGCCTTCATATCCCAGACAACACCACTGCTCTCCCACCAAGTAGGAGGCACAAAAGCCCCTTTGTGCTGTGTGACTAACACAGGCAACAAACCCAGCCACTGAAGGCAGGAAAGACAGCCAAGGTTACTGACAGCAGCTGTCTATTCAAATGCATCTCAGCCTGGAAAAACATCCCTGATTCAGGCACCTGAATTGGAACTTCAAGAGGACCCTGGAGCTGGCACAGGTGACAGCCAGACAGCCACTGCACTAACAGCTCTGCTTCCCTAATACCAGCACAACACTGCACAGGGGATTCCCAGCTACCCAGGATCCCAGAAAGCCCCTTGGGCTTGTCACGATCCTCCCTACCTGCATTAACTCAGGCCTTCAGGCAGTGATGCTCTGGAAAGGGCCTGTTTTCAATCCAACCATTTCCACCCCATTAAGCAGCTCCCTGTGTTGCTTTCATAACTGTTCATAGTTCAGCTTGTTTACAGGGAGAGGAAAATGAATCTTTCTTACTGCCACATGCAGATGCCATTCATAAGCTCAGATACCTGAACTAGATTGAAAAAAATCATGCTGTCACCCAGTCCTTTCTTGCTGGCACAAGATACAAGGCCTCTTGTTTTCAACAGTTGGTGATTTACACAGTTTGGTTAAACTGGTCTCCCACATTCCTCTGTCTAGCCCAAGTTGCAGTCTTCTGTAATTCAAATTAGCTAAACTTCATAGACTTGCAAGTCATCCTGACCAAAATTGTTCCACCTAGTCCAAGGAAGGCCTCTATATGACATTTAAATCAATTTTTCAAGCAGATGTATGGTGGAGAGTCAGTATCAGACAGTGGGTTTTTGAGAAGGAAGCAGATGGAAACATGCAGTCATCCAGCCCAACAAAATATAATCCATGGGAAGCAGACTGCACCAAAGTAGTGCTGTGGGTGGAAATCCAGAGCTCTTAAAATATTCTAAAGCTACAAGGGAATTAGAAGATACTTCCATAGTTAAAAAATGCAATTTTAAAAGTATCACCCTTGAGACAATCAAGCTAGATAAGAATCTAAAAACCAGAGAATGCCTTTGGTTGTTCAGACCTGGGTCATCTGAAGGGTTTAAATGGTTTAAATATTTCACCATGAAAACTACTTGAGGTTCTCCCCAGAAAGTTTTTGCTCAGCATGTGGAGTGGCACTGGAAAACAGCTGGCTGACCACAGGCAATTCCCAACTATGTGCAACTGCTGCAGACAATTCCCAACTAGGTGCAGCCCTTTCCCTGTCAAGAGAACAGCATTCCCAAACATACCATAAGCTTCATAGGTTTCCTGTGCGTCCCCGTGTCCATAATCATAGTATTCTGTGTCCCTGGAAGAGTAATTGTGCTGGTTACAGTGCTGAAATGGTTTTCCTGAACTGACACAACTTGCACAAACACGTGAAAAGCAAAGATGCCCAATGTTGCCCATGGCTGTGGGGTGTGTCTGATCACTGCATTTACACAATTGGCAAGGACACTGGGACACGCCCAAAAGTTACTTCCCAGGCATTCCAGGATTCCAGCAGAACAGAGTGCTCTCCCTACAGCTCCAACTCAGAAATTAGTGCTTCCATTCTCTTAAAGAAAAAAAATAAAAAAAGAAAGGACCATGCATATTTTCCTCTGCAGCAGAGAGGAGACAAGCAAACTTACCCTTGGCCCTGGCTGTAGTAGCCTTCATACCCCTCATAGCTCTGGTCTGCATATGCATCATCATAGCCCTGAAATGGAGGATGACAGATGGTGTTAATGGAAGGACCAAAAGTTACTGCCTGACCAAGAGGAATGTAAAACTGAATTCAGCCCTTGGCAGCTTGCAGAGGAGCCTGGGAGTCCTTCCTTGCCACAGGGAAGGGACTCAATCATAAGGCAAAGGTGGCTAAAATCTGCCCGTGTCCTGTGGCTTGGGAGGAAGGAACCACACAAACATTCAGTGCATTTGAAAGTCACTGACATGTCCAAAGCTGCAGTTTGTCTGTGGTACAAATCCATGTGCCAGATGTACAGGCAGACCAGATCCAACCTATTAACTTAGGACTGGTTTCAGTAGAAAAACTGAGAGGTTTTACTGAGAAGAAACAGAATTTAGAAGTATCAACACTTGTGATGGTTCCCCCAGAAATGCTGCTGTGCATCAAAACCAGTCACCTTGTTTTTGCCTTTAGAATATCAAGAGCACAGATGCTAAAATAAGCTTGACAGGAGGGTGGTGCTCTGTTATATGCCTTGAAAAATAAATGTGTGAATGAATATGATGGTGTTAAGGATTTTAGGGGCAGTAAGAAATCCTTAGTGATCCCTGCTTAAATAATTCTCTTGCAGAAAGAGGATGTTATGTGAACTACATCAATTTGATGTAGCTTTTCTACTGTGCACGATAAGTTAGGGGAAACTTCAACCTTGGGGGCACATGTCAGTTTTACAAAAAACACCCTGTATTTAGGACACTACCAGTTCCCTCCTTTGAGGTCTAAGGGGTAGAGCACATCACCTGGCATGGTACTAGTGACTGGTGGGTCATTTTTGCAGAGCAGTCTTACTCTTTTCAGCTCTTATGTCAACAACGTTGAATATCTAATCCATGACCAGCTAACTGGAATTAACACAAACAACAAACCAAAGAGATATAAGTTTCTTACATATTCCTCATAGGTTTCAGGTGCAGGAGGAGGAGGGAGAGGTATCCTCTGGATGCCAGCTGCACGTGCTCGGGGTGCAGGAGCCCCCCGGACTGCAGGGGGAGGTGGGACCCCACGGGTGACAGCAGCTCCCCTGGCCATGGCACCTCGCACCGGGGCTCCTCGCACAAGAGCCCCCCGAGGAGGAGGAGGAGGAGGGGGAGGACCAACACCACGGCCCCTGGAAAGGAGATAAGGATGGTGAGGAGGTGCTGCTCCTGTGATGGGAACTGCATGCACTTCTTACACCTACTTGAAAATGCAACAGCTTGATAAATAAATGCAGTTGCCATTAACTAAGCCATGGATTCTTTATCTTGAATGCAAGCACAAGAATTGTTAATGTTGTTGTACTGCAGGATTTAGAGAAACTTCTTCTGGGATGAGAACTCTACTGCATTAGATGTTGTAGAGACAAAAGAAATAAATCTGATGCAGAACTCTGGGCAAGTCACTTCTCAGAGTCCATTTTAAACAACCCTCCATCATTAACCTGGAGTGACTGCCAGACCTCCTGAACTGTAAAGATCAACGCTGAGATGAGCAGGGACACTCAGAAGCAAAGACCTTCCCCCCCATGAATTAGGTAGTGAAGCAAGAACTACAGCAACAGTTTTATCACCAATTCATCCCAATGCCTTGGCAGCAGTGACAGAAAAATGCCACCCTGGAAATTTCAGAGGATGGCCAGTTGAAACTGAAAATGCTTATTCTGCTAAAGGCTACACAAGCAAACAGAATCCATCTATCTACACCTGATTTTGCAGGCCCATTTTTGAAAGGTTACTTTATGAAGTTACTGATTTCAGACATCAAAAGAGATCACAGCTTGGGACACATCAAGCATTTGGTGCCAGCTTGTTAAAACTAGGCTAGAAAGCCTTGGCCAAACAGCCAAGGTCAAGGCCAACAACTTATGTGCTTAACCTCATCTGGAAGGACAACTCTAAGCAAGATGCAGCATTTCCAAGTCCGTGCTTTTTGGGAAAGATACCTTGGAACAGGTGGAGGTGGTGGTGGAGCTGCTCCCCTTCCCCGCACAGGGACTCCTCGGCCACGAGCTGGCTCTGGGACACCGTTCAGGTAGGAGAGCTCCAAGAATTGCTCCTGACAGATATCATCCATCATATCCTAAAGAG